AAACAACAGAGGTTAGCTTCCTTTTAGAACCAATATTCATCTCTTCTTCTAGATCATCATCTTCTATTTCAATCGGCTCTGAATCGTTGGCAGATTCAGGTTCAGTAGCTACAGAACTTGGTGATTGCGGCAAGCTGCTACTCCCACTAGCTTTACTTGAACTCCCTACTCTGGAGTACAACATAAATAATAGAAACATTAGTACAGGTAAAGCTAGAAAAAAAAAACGTAAGGACACATGGACTATGGACAATAAAAAAAAAATGTAATACAAATGGTTCGAGGCAACCCAAAAACGACACACACAATGACACAAAGCGAACAACTCTTAATCGAAAACCTCAGAATATGAATCAATACAATCACCCTTACCCAAGGACAGTAACAAAACTGATGGAAGCTAAAACAATCAAAATTATGAAAGGAAAATATATCAAAATAAACACCCTGAAGAATTTGAAGAAACACCATGAACCTCTGAAGTCTGACTACATAAACTGTTCAGACCAATTAACCTCATAATTCATACCAAGTCCAGATTTTTTTTTTCAAGGATATCTAGTCGCCAATATGCAGATTTCATAAGGAATCCCTACTAATTAACACCTAGACTTTATCAAATCCAAGAAATTGGGAAAACCTGAAGAACAAACAGCTCATAGATAACCATTTGTATTTACCATTTGTATCCATCTGTATCTATCACTCAACTATTAAAAAAATACAAAGTACAGAAGGGTTAGCATGAATTGAATCAAACCCAATTGATTTAAACTTCTGAAGGATGGAGGAAGGAGGAGTCTTCGGTGCAGGTGCTCCTTCAATGGCGAGACGGCTTCGTTTGCTGTTTACGCATGCCTGCAGTGGACGACGGCCCTTTCCAACCACTGCTTTACCTTTTGCAGCGACGGCAGCGGCGGCGTCCCTTCGTGAGGTCGCCGTGAAATGTTAGTAAATCTAATCGGGCTTAATGGACTCGTACGAACCAGAGTTTGGGGAGGAGGAAGCACCACAACAAATAAAGAAGAGGGAAAATGAAAATTCTCACCGCACGCGAGTTGGCGTTTCCGGTGAGGACACAGCGTCCCCGGCCTGGATCTGCAGCGGCAGCGTCGGTGACCTGACCGCAGGCCTCGAGGTGGAGTCCGACTCGCCTTCTCCCGTTGCGGCCTGTGGGCTTGAACCAGCCATCTTGGTGGAGCGGTGGAGCCGCCGGTCACACGCAGGAGCTGCCGGCCTGGAGTGGAGTGGAATGGAGCTGCGAGTGTGCGTCGTGGGCGGGGCGTGGGACGGGAGAGGAGGATGAGATTGCCTCTTGTATCTAGGGTTGAGTAGTGTTTGGGTTTCCAAATGCAGATGATTGGGCTAAGGAATTCAATTATACATGGGCTGAGTTTTTTTTGGGTTGGGCCAAAATATATATTGGGCCAAATCATATTGGGTACATTATACCCAAGTGT